AAGCAAAATAAGTCAATATCAAAGTCCCTACCATATATTCTTAAGAGGACATTCAAAGAAACCAAATAAGTAGTCACCGACCCGTTAGATGGAGTATCAATAACCATATTATTATTCATAGCAGACATCATAAGATTCAATCTTTTCACACAATCAACATATATAAAGAAATGTGTCGCACCAATATTAGTGATAGTAATCAAAGGAATATCATTTATAAAACATGTACCTCGAATCAAATTATCAAACTTTGAGGCCTCTGCACCACTAAGAGCAGACACTTTTTCACCCGCTTTCACATCCGGCGTCTTCTTGGGTTTCTGACACTGTGTACTAATATGACCAGTCTCCCCACAGTTGATGCAAGCCACAACAACACTTTTGCATTCCACGATTCTATGTCCTGCAAAAGCTGATATGGACAAAATTGTGCGTGTTGTGGCTGTCTGCACATCAGACTGCCACAAGACGTGTTGTCCTCTGCAGACTGGAAATTGTACTACTTGGGGCTGATTTAAAGGAAACTAGAAGGAATATGTTGGGTTTATTGGGCTAGAAGCAAGGAATATCCACAAGGCCTGTGATCCATTGACAAGATAAAACCATAAAAGTTAAAGGGTATAAAAGGAACCTCTTGGACGAAATGGAGAAAGATTCAGAAGTTGAAAACTTGTGAAATTACTCTAAAAATATCTTACTGAAGAAGAAGAAGTATGATCCAATAGTGAAGAATTTCTTCCATTCTCCCTACATTAAAGAAGTGTTGAGTATTTTGACGTGATAGAACTCGCCTCCTGCTGATTGAGAGATTGCAAGGAGTAGAATGTCATATTTAGGTTAATATTTTCTCTTCACTTGTGTTTAAAAGTGTTGAATATAAGAACTTATGTTGAAAATTAGTATTTTGTGCTAAATGGTGTAGTTTGAAGTGATGCATTTTACTATGTGAATTAATGTTATACATCTAGTTTTTTTGCTTGATCACCTTAAAAATAGGTAAAAGTTCGTTAAGGGTTTGAGATATCTATTAACTAACGGACTTCATAAGTAAATATGATTGAAAATAGTAGGATAAATATATTCACTAAATTAGTCACTTTAGAGATAAAGGACTATAACATGAGAGAAATCAGAATATGAAAATATACACTCTTTCATGTTATTATGAGAGTTCAAAAGTTGTTCCCTTGATTTACTGCATATGCCTTGATGTTATAGACATTCACCGCTATATCACTTTCTGCCTCACTTACTACTATATCACTTGCCACTATTTAACTATTTATACTTGCACATATTAATAATTCACAAAACATTTTTATTTCAAGAATCTTCTTCATTGCACTTAAATCTTTCATTAAAAAATATTTGCATAAAGTTTTCTTGAGATCATCTATTTTTTTTCTTATTTCTTCAACAATAAACATAACATTGACATAAGACAAAAGTGTGATAGACTCATCATTTTCATAAATATTCAAAAACACATTGCAGAGAGTTGTCTTCTTTGTGAACTTGTTGGGTCAAGAAGAGATCAAACTTCTTAAATCATTATCTTGAAATTTGTTTTAGATCATAGAGATTTTTCCTCAAATAATACAAAAGGTATTATTTTTATCGTTCAACATAATAACTTTGTTGATCCATATAAATTTCTATATCTAAGTATCCATGTATTAAATTTGGTCTGACATCATGTTGTTCTATCTCTAAGTCTAGTTTTGTAGTTACTCCAAAGATTTCTCTAATAGATGTGATCTTCACCACCAAAGCAAAGATTTTTTTCAAAATATATATCTTTCTTTTCGTGTCATCCCTTCACTACAATACTTACTTTGTACTTGGGGTTTGATTTGTTCTCTCGAGACTCGAGTTTAAACATCCATTTGTTTTTCAATGTCTCTTCGTCAGGGATTGCATTTCTTCTTTCATAGTTTGTGTCCATTTTTCCTTATCTATTGTCTTAATGGCTTCTATGAATAACAATTTTCTTATCTAAGTCAGTTATCAAAATTCAGTCACCAAATGCAACATTAAGATATGTGTCTTCTCCGAAAAAGAAATATATTTTTGTCATTTGAGGTCACTTCAGCAGTGGTTTAGTTCTTTATTTTTCATTAGGTCAATCTTATTAGGATGAGAGGTCTTAACTTATTGTATTTTTCCCCATCTATTGTCTTAATGGCTTCTATGAAATAACTTTGAAGGTAATTAGATATTCGATCATGTTTTGACTATCTAAATACATCTACTTCACTAACAAGGTGAGCTTTATTTCTGTGTAATATTTTATATCAATAATTCAAACTTTGTCTATAATTCATGCGTATTTGTATAATTTGACAAATGCTCAAACAATCTTATATCGATGTATTTTCGAATCAAAACTGCTTTTCAATTCTCTATCTCCTTGAATTTATCGGCATTTCCTCGTGTATAAGTAGTATTCAGTAGTTGTCTTGAGCATATCTCTATCATGAGTGATAGAAGTCTCCTTGATTTACACAAGACACTAGAAATAAAATTAGTTTGTGAATATAGTGCACTGAGGAAGTTTGCAGGAAAGAGAGGTGGATAAAAAAACATGTTTAAATACCAAGTATTTCATTATCCAAAATTTCCCCATGCATGTGCTAAAAGTACATTTTATTTCCAAGAATATTTAATTTTTGATGTGGAAGGTCAAATTCTATTATTGGAACCACACAACGTATACTAAGAACTTATTTTCTTGAGAATACAACATCTTAATTTGGAGCTATGATACTATTGTTGAGAATAACAAGTATGAATAGTGTAGAAAAGTCTAACATTGATTAGAAATATGAAGCCTTAAACATTTATAAATAGGAAAACCAGCTCATCTATCAACTTTATTTTAGGTGAGTATTTGATATGTCTCTCGCAAAAATGTATTGCTCGTAATGAAAGTCCCTAAAAATAAAAATCTCACTCGTATTGACCCCAGCAATTGTGCATAATATTTCTCCTTTGTGAATTCAAAATTGACACTAAACAAAAGCAAACATAAAGAGAATAAGAATTTTTAAGTAAAAAATCCTCTCAATATGAAACATAAAAACCATTGAACCTAGTCTAATAAAAAATATCTACTATATCTCATCAGAAAAAAATCTCTACTACAGAAAAGTACTTCCTCCATCTATAAAAAGTGTCTCATTTAAACTTTTTCTATGTCTTAAAATAATTGTTTTTTACAATACCAATGCAGCATTTATTATTAATGCATTACAATAAAACTCAACGATCAAATGGTTAAATTCAATCCAACAGACCATAAATCAGAATGATTCATTGGTTTGGTTAATTTGTCAAGAACACTTAGATATTCATCAGTCTTCAAGGTGTATTCCATTAAGCTCCATAAAAGATGATTATATTACACAGTCTCAAGTAGTATAGTAATAAATACAGTGTAAAACAACAATACAACTTGAAAATGGAATGGCCAACTTACCCTAGACATCAACACATGCAGCCCAAAAAACCAGAAGGAAAAAAACAGACCTAAACATGCAGACCAGGAAAATCTGATATATAGGGTACATGGTCTTGTAGATTTCAAGTCAACTAATATGATGAACATATTTAATTGCTGATAAAGAATATTTCTTTAATAATTTGATTAAGAACTCCAGTCTCTATGTACTAATTGATGAAGTAATTTTACAGAATAATGAACTTTAAATATCTCACCAGTACAGCATTTGCCATCCTAAAGACAAGATTCCATTATAAACCACGTGTTAATCTATAAAGCCTATTGTAGCCGCTAGCCATGAATAGTAAATTATGAGTTTTGGTTCTAAACATAGAATTAAGGGTTTTACAAAGCAATGGTGCATAAAGCACGACTTAGATAACTAGTTAAATCCAAGAGCTTGTTGAAGATTATAATCTTTATGCACATATAGAGAGAAAGAATTCAACCAGTAACTTGTGTGAAAACTAACATAAAGGATTGGACAATACATGCATAATAGATGCAATAAACCAACTTTCTGAATCATAGAATTTCATTAATATCAGACAAAAACAAGTTTGTCTAGGATTTGATGTACACTAATCAAACCAAGTCATGAAGGCTTTGTTACTTCTTTATATCCTTAAGTTGCTCATTTAACAAATAACAGCGCTGCTCACCACTTATATTTTATTCAATTGCTTTTGAAATTGATTTCTGCCATAATCAACACTTACAATGCAACATTGAAGAAAATCAAAGATAGCGGTGTGTTTAAAAAGAACCCCTCGTGAAATAGACTTTCATGCTGTTAAATTAAGGTAGAAGATTTCTCATACATGAAAACTATGTCCGAATAACCTGTACCTTAATTTAACAGCATGAAAATCTGAAGGTGGGGCTTATTCATACATGTGTGTCACACTTAGATTCATTTTGTAGAAATCTTACATCTCTGATACTACTATTTTCCCAAGTAAAGAAGTCTCTTCATAGCAATCTAGAGAGGCTAGTCATTGAATTCTTCAACCTTTCGTAGCATCTAAATCCATAAGGAATCAGTCCTTTACTTGAGTGCGTTATTTTTAAAACTCAAACACGAGTAGCAGACATATATTTACTCCAATTTCAAATGTTATAAATATACAAGTTTGAGCGATTTTTCTCCAATGCAGGATGATACTTTGCAAGAGTATTTATGTATGTCATCTTTAAAGATTTCAATTCAAAATCAATTATTATCTCATGCATATGAAACATGGTCATTCAATCGTACTTGAGTAATAAGCTTGATACAATGAGGCCTTTTAGATTATTGATAACAATAGGTAATAGTTACTAAGAATGATGCAATGCAGTTGTATATTAAGTGAAGATGCTTGATATTTTTCAGAAGGTTTCATGTTGGAATTGACATTTTTAAGCTAGTATATTTATCAGGACATGTTTTACAGGCCATTGAGTTTTTTAATATCAACAAGACTAACAATTAGAAAAAACAATTAGTGTAGTACCTTTATGCTGGGAAAGATCCAAAGTTGACAGCTACTGGTATTGTTCCACTAAGGTCATTATTGGAAACATCACTGCACAATCACAAAGGAGGTTTCAAATTAGCTTATGAATAAATCAACTGCAAAAATAAGAAAGAAAATCTCAAATGAAATTAAACGTGGATTTTCTCCATTCAAGAACATGAAGGGAAAGAAAAAAGGCATTCAACTAAACATACAAACATTGAGATTTTAAAGATGAGTAAGTTCTCTTTGGATAGGTTCCCTAAGCTTATTGTTGTTTAAGAGTCTACAATACATTATCAATGCATCAAATGTTACAATTTGAGTTCGTGATACAATGATATTTTTAAACTGTATGCACATAGTACATGTTTAATTCCAATAGACATAGCATAAGCAAGTGGACAAACATCAATACTTCTCCTTTGGAGTTGGTTAGCACAAAATCTAGCAAGTTTCCAGCCACTTCAATCTAGAAAGCATGAATGGCTTGTATACACCAAATTTTGTTTATACAAAATAATATCCAATTGATCTGAATAGAGATGATTATAGGATGTTACAGAACACAAGCGTTCTAGCAGTCAATAATACATGTATATTTTTTGTATTGCAATGATACAGTTACATAGAACCACAAGCACGCTAACAACACACACAAGACATACTAGCTGCTTAAGATTAATAAAACTATCAATTTTATAGATTCATACTCTTCTTATCAGAAAAATATGTATTAAAAATTGGAGGAGAATCCATTGTCAACACATATAATCTCAAGTTTTAACTGAAAAACCATTACCAACTACCAAATTTACATAATCAAATCAAAGAAATTAGCAATAGTCAATTCATGAAATAAAAATACCTGTTTAGCAAAACCCCAAAATAGCAAAGAAACATTCACACTCCCCCACAATTAAGCCATAACATTAGGGTCGTCTTTTAGGGTGTGCAAGGCGAGCACACAAGGTCCAAAATTTATTATGGTTAAACTATGGTTAAATAGGATCTCATAAATTATTTGTCACCGTCAAATCATGGTTAAATAGAGTCTCGCTTTTTTGCCATGGTTAAACTGTATCTAACCTACACAGGGCCTCCAAAAACGTAAGACAGCTCTGTATAACATAGAACAATTTCATACTCCATATTCTGATAAACACAAGTGGACGAAGGAGCCTTTGCACAAAACAAGTCCGGTAACTAAATCGAAAAAATACAAAACAAAACAAACAAAAAAAAAACCTAAATATAGAGTGTAAAACAACCAATACAACTTGAAAACAAGGTCAACATACAGTTGATTCTACATTTTAAAAACAACTGGGATCAAAGTTTCATTTAATTTTTATGTACTTAAGATTAAAATCATAATCAGTTTACCTTATTTGGATCCTTTCATTTTCTCAGTAAAGTAAAACTTGTAGTTTTCTCTACAAACACGAGATCATCATGTCTCGAAAGGAAAACAAGAGGATCCAAACATTATCATTGTTGTTATAGAGCAACTTTAACGCAGGATTGTTAAACCAAAATTCTTTATAGCTTAAGTTAGTAATAAGAAATTTGCATTATAAAAGAACTGACATGGCATCCAAATGAACTAAAATTTAGTTCCCATTATCTATACAGTTAACGTTAACTATTCATGTGAAACCTATTATAATATTATTTAATATTAATAAAATATTTCAAATATTCCAACAACATTAAATTAAGGGTATGATATTTGAAAATAGTAACAGTCATATTATCATTTTTTACCTTCTATAAATTCTATAGAAATTTTAATTTTTTTTACACACAGTTTTACTTCTAAATTTTTTTCTCTCAATTTCCAATTTTATTTATTTATCAAATGGATCTCAACCAATCGAATCCTTATTATAATTATATTCCTATGAAAATGTAATTTTTTTTATGTATTATTGTTGTGAATTTTGTATCATTTTTAATTTTATAATAAAATATATTTAATATTATTTTTAAGTTTTTAAGGTAAATTTTATTTAAAAAATTATATGTATTTTAATTAAAATAATTAAATTAATGGTAACTTCAATAAAAAATATAAGACGTGGTTTCCTATAGACAACAACCATTAAAGTAAAAACTACTCAAATCAACTATAAATTTTTTAAATCCTACAAATCACTTTGGTCTCACAAAAAGTATCTTACTTTACCCATTTAGTTTACTTCCACTAAAAATGCTCTCTCTTAGGTGTTTAAACATATTGAAATTTAATACGTGCAAATGCAGGCATCGAAATGCTAAGATGCTGAATGCACATTCAAAGGAAAAAAGTTAGAATGATGTTCTAGAGTCTCCAGCATGCATTTTCTTAAAGTACTGCTAGTACATACCAAATCCTTCATATAGTTCTCTTGATAAAAAAAATGTGCAATATGTGATATTTTCCATAATTTTATTCTACAAATTACCAGAGTTAAACCAAAATCAACCACAATTTATTTTTTATCATAAAAAAAAAAAAAAAAAAAAAAAAAAAAAAATATCAGAATCCTGATACCGTTTTGTGGCAAAATGCATTACTGTACTAACCTATGCCTAGAACACTCATGGAAAAAAGACTAAAGCCTCAAATTTTCTTAGAAAACATGAAATCGATCATCAAAATAGGTGAAAAAACAAAATCTTGAAAACAGGAGAAGCAAGAAAAGGGACGAATCTGAACTGGTGATGACAACAACAAGGTTAACTGAGAACCACAATCTTTGCAAAGTTATGGAATTAGAAGCTGAAAACTCACCGGAAATGGAGCGGCAACGATGATGGAAATGGAACGGACGGTGATGCAACTAATGAAGATTCAAATAGAAATGGAGTGGACAGTGTTGAGAAAATATTAAAAAAAAGAAATTCAAGTTGAAGCATATTGAAGAAGATGTCGTTCATCTAAAAGATTTGACAGGTTTGACATCAGATAAGAGAATGATTATTATTATATCTTTTTCACGGTTGTTTCTAGCACAAAAACAATATTTTACTATTTAAATAATTTTTTATTTTATTTAGGATTTAATTAAAATATATTAACCTTGTGAAAGGATATTATACTAAAAGTTAATTCTAATAGTTGAATATTGAAAAACAATTGACTTTTATTTTAATCATTAATAAGTTAATATCTACAGACGATGGTGATGTAAAATTTTTTACCCTGACAGTAAATAATAATTAATTTCTTTTATTTATATTTTGGATTAAAAATTCATTAGTGTTTTTTTTATCTATGTATTTAAACATTCTTTGGGGTCGTCAAGATTTTTTATTTTTATAATAATATTTAGTATTTTTCTCTATCCAGTGGATTCGAGAATATTATTTGATAGGTTTGTTGTTTGCAACCTTTATTTTTATTCAAGGTTTAGTGTTAGTTAATTCGTAGTGTTTTCGATTACGCTAGCTGACATCAGAGTAGGTTTTTCCTTTTTTTTTGTAGTTTAATCAACAATAGGAGATCAACCGATGACCAGAGCAGATCTTGAGAGGATTATCACAGCTTTTACCACGGTTCTAACTATTTTGACTGAACAGACGACGAATTTAGCAATTCAGGTGAACAAAGCCAACAACAGCGGAAATCAGCAAAGAGAAAGGGTGTCGCGGCGTGAAAAATACTCGGGCGTTCGCACGCTCGAAATAACGTAAGATTCGTCACGGAAGTTTATTTATTCCAAACGGAAAGAAAAATGTAGACAAAACACTTAAAGAAAAAGGAAATGATTGTCTTAACCAAATTTAAGTTCGAGAGTCGATTATGCAAGGGAAAATATTAGCACCCTCTCACATCCATTGTACTCAACAAGAACCATTTATTTAGCTTTGTGAATAGAATGTTAGCTTTCGTTTATTTGTTTTCTTCTAATTATTGAAAGTATGAAAGGAACAAGAAAATGACTAAAAATAAGTTTTTTTTTTATTAGGGTGTTATTGCGAGTCTTACTCCTACGTATCCTCTAGTGCGATGAGGAATTCAAAGCTACGTAGATCTGGGCAAAATAATGGTATTTTTGGGTTTTTTTTTGTTATAGTGCTTAATGAGATGTTTGAATCTCGCTCCTATGTATCCCCAAGTGCGATGGAGAATTCAAAGCTACGTAGTTTTGGATATTATACCACATTTGTGTTAGTTGATTTTAGTGAATAATATTTAGGTCGTATTCTAGCGGTTAAACGTTGCCTGTTTGCTCGAGGCTTAAGCGTTTGTTTGTATCGCGATAAGATGGATTCTGCTTGATGACATTCTAGCGGTTAAATGGTGTTTGTGTGCTTGTGCATGAGAGACTTGAGTATTTGTTTGCATCGTAGTAGAATGGATAAAATATCATTCGTTTGTGAAAAGATTTACGATCGCGCTAAGGCAGGAAATGATAGTTTGATTGGTTGAGTTATTTTCGGGTGGATGACGAATTATTTGAACAACAAGCTAATTACATGTAACATTCAAATAGTTGGGGAAAAGAAAGGATATTACATCTAGATCAATTCTTTTTCATCCAAATTAATTATGAAATTTGTGAGGCAAACTAAGTCATGAGTCTTTAACGGAAGACAAGTATTCGAACAATAAGCTAAGTACGGCTAGCGTTCAAATACTCGAGGAAAAGAAAGAATATTACGTATAAACCAATCATTTTTCATCCAATATGGATCAAACTAAATTCAACTAATTATTGTGTTTTGAATGGAAGATGAGTATTCAAACAACAAGCTAATTACAACTAGCATTCAAATACTCGGTGAAAAAAGGAGATATTACGTCCAAACTAATCCCTTTCCAACCGATTTAATTATGAAAAAGATTTCAAAGCCTTTTTGATTAGTCAGAAAAGAACTTGATGTTAATCAAGTGTTTGATTCGTGTTGTTTTAAAAATGGTTTAATTTGATTTTAAAAATTGTTTGATATTGATCAAGTGTTTTTATTTTGATTTAGAAAAGATTGATTTTATTGGCTTTTTATATAATTAATTAACCAATTTAATTAAAATTAAAAAAAGAAAAGAAAAAAAAAAGGTGGACAAAATAAACAGAGGGGGAGGATGAGTAAAACCTAGATGACCTTAAGGCCCAACAAATAAAACAAGAGCAAAACAAATGATAATAAAAAATAAAAATAAAAAGGGTGCAAAAGAAGAAAAAAAGATGTTGGTTAGCAACCAGCGGAGGCCCAAATGATGGAAACCCCAATATTTAGAGTTAAGGTCTTGACTCATCAGAAACGTCTGATCAAATAGCCCAGTCTGGTCAACCAGATCAAGGATCTAGATTGAAAGGGCACATGTTGATAGGGTGGGCTCCTTGTACAGGGATCCCAGAGTCAAAGAGCAAGTAAGCAAATCTTAGGGTGGAGAGAAATCCATGTGGTCCTGGGAATATCGGAACGCTTTGATCAAAATAGGGGAGTCTGAACTCCCTCTCTCATTCCCCTAAACATATTCTTTCTCTATCTCGCTTCACTTCGGAGCCTCTCTCTCTTCTCTCATCATGCAAACACAAAACTACACACACAATCTCATTATTTGGATCAAACAAATACAAACACACATGATCATAAAGAACCAACGATGAACATTTTGAATGTTAATCATCTCAAAACCCAGAAATCACTTAAATCTACCCAAAATAGAAAATCACAAACATAAATTCTACCTCTCTTCTTCCCCTAAACACAAATCCATGCGTGAAATCAACAAAAACAACATCAAAACCTCATAATCAAATCCATAGTTCTATGAACTCTAACTTAACAAAAATTTCTGATACGCACAAATTAACAACAATTAGTAATAATTAATATGGGGGGACATTCATTATGTGTACAGAAGCAAGAAATCATGAAGAAAAAGCATTAAAATGTTGTGAAAGTACTAAATCGGAGCAAAAGGGATTCCGGCACGACAACAGATATTTCCGCCGATGGCAAATTTTAAAGGAACTTATCCTTTCTCTTCTCTGCTTCTTAAAATGTTGATTCAATTTAGCTAAATTTTAAATGAAATGAAACTGGAGTTCACATTTAATTTAGCTTGTTAAAATGTTGATTCAAATTCAACCTTGAGATTCACAACTTGTTCTTTGCCTTTCGTTAATTCAAATTGAATTATAGAAAAATATGTAACCATGAAAGTGAATTTGCTAAACAAAATGATCATAAAAATATAAATGTCTCAACTTGCTTTGGTTCAAAACTTTTGGTAGTTTGAACATAATGAAATGGAAACCACTAAACTTCAATTTGAATCAAGAAGAAACTTGGCTTGTTGTTTAATAACGTGAACCATGGTAATATGCACTACCAATCAAGTAAATTTCAAATTATAACCTTTTGTACTTTGAAATGAAATAGCAAATCTAATGATGATGATGATGCATGGTGTGGAAAGTGACATGAGCAAATTGTACTATAGAATGTACTATTTTTTTACACACCATAGAATTTACTTAAAAATGAGAAAAAGTTTTAAGTTTGCACGTGATTCTTGAGTCATTTAAATTGTACATGAACATCAAACTAGGTCACATACACCAAATTCCCATTTTACAAATTGTTGACTTTTTAATTGGTTAAAAGTTCACTTTGACCAACCTTTTTATTCATGATAAAATCATGAATGATATGAGATGGACTTAAAAATAATAGCCTTCACAAACAAATGTTGACTTTTAATTTGGTTTTGACTTTATTGTGTGAGAATTAGATCCAATGGTTTTGAGATGATGCATTCTTATGGTAAAAACAAGTATAAATTATGAATGAAGCCATGACTTATGCACCTCCCATTAGATGAAAATCAAATGCTCATAGTCAGGTCATATAAAAAGGGGAGGGACAAAATTTAGGTGTGTCAACTGCCCCTATTTAATTACCTTAAACATAAGATTAAGAATGACAACAATTTTCATACATTCATGCGGAAGATAATTAAATACGGAAAGACCAAAAAAAATTCTTTAAAGGAAGGGTGAAATTCATGAAGTGTCAACCTTGTTGAGGATATGAAGGGTTTGCCTCCACCCACTGGTTAGGGTCTTGCCTTCAATGACAAACTTTGAAAACAAACAACAACGGAGAGGTTCTCTAAGAATTAATAGAGAAAACTCTCCATAGACAAAACAAACAACAAATTAGAGATTATTTGAGAATTAACAGAGAAAATTCCCAACAGACAAAACAAACAACAACAACAACAACAACAACAACAGGGAGGTTATCTGAGAATTAATAGAAAAAACTCTCCACAGACAAAACAAACAACAAATAATAGATTCTCTGATAATTAATAGAGAAAATTGTCAACAGACAAAACAAACAACAATTATGAGATTCTCTGAGAAATAACAGAGAAAACTCTCCAAAGACAAAACAAACAACAACTAGGATATTCTCTGAGAATTAACAGAGAAAAATCTAAACAGACAAAACAAATGACAACCTGAAGATTCTATGAGAATTAACAAAGAAAACTATTAAAAGACAAAACAAACAACAATTAAGAGATTCTCTAAAATTTAATAAAGAAAACTCTCCAGAGACAAAACATCAACAACTGGAAGGTTCTTTGAGAATCAACAGAGAAAACTCCCAACAGATAAACACTGAAAGATTTCATGAGCATTAATTAACAGAGAAAACTTTCAAGGGAAAAACACTGAAAGATTATTTGAGCATTAACAGAGAAAACTTTCAAGGGACAAACACTGAAATATTCTCTAATCATTAATAGAGAAAACTTTTAAAGGACACACACTGAAAGATTCTATGAGCATTAACAAAGAAAAGTTTCAAGGGACAAACACTAAAATAAACTTTGAGCATTAACAGAGAAAACTTTCAAAGGACAAACATCGAAAGATTCTCTGAGCATTAGCAAAGAAAACTTTCAATGGATA